TAATAGGGAAGGGAGTAATTGTAATGGGTGTAAATGAAGTAAATCAGAGATTAGTAAAGGAAAGGGCGATTGAATGAAATGGAGTATATCTGTGGCTCGGGATGCTATAGGGGCATTGTTTAAGGAAAACTGGCAAAAGAGCAATTATGAGATACTCAATGGGTAATACGGGTAGAAATGGCTGTTGAAGAAGTAGCAAGAGAAGAATCCAGGGGATGCAATAAGGGGATTGAGGAAGGTGGCGAAGTATCAGGAAGAGTGTCAGGGGAGGAAGGATCAGGAGAAGGACACTGTTGTGACAGAAGAGGTTCACGTGAGTATCCAGGTGGGAGAGGCAAGGATAATGGGGAACAAAGAGGGAATGGTACAGATGGAGAAGGATGGGGTGGGGAGAGTGAGAGGAAGAGGGGTAGGAGGAACTTGAGGGGTAGGAGGATGGTTATCGGCAAATACTTTGAATGTAGAGAGATTAGGAATAGAGGAATAGGAGGGTGGATGAGAAAGTGGAACATTCTCTTGGGTCATGTCTAGGAATTTTTGGATGTCTTCAAGAGTTTTTGGAGGGGAGTTAGGTGGGGAGGTCTAACAAACAAAGGTTCTCTTGTGAGGAGGAGAAATGGGGATAGATATCCAAGGATCAGAGGAAAAGAAGGGTGTAGGAGAAGATATGGTACGTGAAGAGAGAGAGAAAAATCTCATCACTGTGACTTCCTGTCTGGCCTCACTCAAATTTGAATCTGAGAAACTGCTACCTCATATTCGAGGTTATGGGCAGGGCAGCTCCTGAAAAAATACACTATAAATACATTGACAAGAGAGGGTCGATATGGTTGGAAAGGGTAGGACACTCTACAATATAAACTTCATGGGGAGGTCATGTCTACGGAAGCTAATCTTGGCAATACTGGTGTAAGAATTAAACTGTCCTCTGAGGGAAATAGTGTAGTACTGTATTGCCACTGCATCATAGTCAACAAGGCAAGCAAGTAGGGCAGACAGAAACAGTTCCAGTACAAATATTAAGAGAATAGGTTTGCCAGTGAGGTCAGTCAGGGTAGATATTGCACAAGCATAGGACTTAGATGTAACTGTCACAAGATGTGAATAATTGGAATGACTGAGGAAGGAAACTTTGCCTACATGTTTTTGGAGATATACTTGAAAGAGAAGGGTATTTTCAGAGTAAGGGGCTGTAGGGGGGAATCACAAAGAATCCATCCCACTTGGCTGGGCCAAAGAAAGTACTTGAAAGGTTGCATAGGTGGAAGCAGTAGAAGGACAAGGGCGGGAGAAAGATAGGTGGTGTGGGATAAGGTAGTGGGGAGGAGGACAATAAGGATAAAGAGTAGTAATGAGGGGGAAGGGGTAGACAATGAAGAAGACTGTGCAGTAGATGGTGTAGAGAATGTTGGAAGAGAAGAAGAGGTGCTTTCTGAAGGCTGAGTAATGACCTGAGAGGGTGGTTCGGAATGGAGAGATTTAGATAGGCTAGGATCAAATTTAGATAGGCTATTTGATGAAGAGGCAGGCCTTAATGCCCCTAAGAATGGTAAACATATTCATTATTTGCCATAGTGAGCCTGAAGTAAGTGGGGAAAAGAAACGGTCTACCCCCAGGGTCCCCATAAAAGGTAAGGGTTAGGCGATTAACCAAGGGAATACCGTGCCCATGGCTCCCGGAGGCCATTCATGACTGACACAAAGTCGGCTTTCATCATTTCAGCATGGCTCTCATCCCTTTTGGAGTGGACAGGAGATGAAGAAGAGATGAAAAAGGAAAGGCAGAAAAGAAAATACCATGCAAAATTAGTTAAGGTAAGGGCTAAGGCCCAAGGGAAGGATGATCCCCTACACTGGCCTCAGTCTCCTTCTCCGAAGCTCCCCCATGTCAACAACAATACCTCTGTTCAAGAAATCCACCAAGCTATTTGAAAAATTCTATGCACCTCAAATTAACATGTTAAGCATCACCCTCTGTAACCGTTGGCGCTTTGGCAGCGTCACCCTTCCCGTCTGTCTTCCTCCTACCCGCCTGAGCCCCTCCTAAATCTCCCTCCTCTCCCTCTTCTCCTTCCTCCTCCATCTCCCTCCTCTCCCTATCTACCTCTTTTCCCTTCTCCTCCCATCCCCCTCGTCCCCATTGCCCTCATCCTCTAACTTCCTCTTCTCATTTCTCCCCCATTTCCCTCTTCTCCCATATCCCACCTCTCTTTTCTATGATGAACGCTCACCCCTTACTGAAATTGTGTCCTTGAAATGCTCTCGCGAGTAAGCGAAAGTTGCCAGAAATTCCTAGATGGACTCAGAATGTTGGCAGATGATGTTCGTATAGCTATAAACATCATATGATGGCCCAGACTGCTGGAAAGCAGCATTTAAAGTTGAGAAGAGCATAGGTCGTCGAGTACAATAGTGGAAAAAAATGGAAACTTCATGTAGCATCGGAGATGTTAACAGGTTAACCTAATGATGCCAGCCTTTGCCCAAGCCATATGCTGGATGCAACCCCAATTAGAAATGCTGGAAACATTTTTTTCTCCATTTTCTACAATTTTGTCTGCAGCATGACATGTTTTCTTCACTATCTATAATTTTGGCTGCAGCATATTTATTTTCATAATAAAATAAAATAAAATAAAAGTTTATTTTCAAGGTTGTAACCCTTTGTGATCACAGAAAGGGCTAAACAAAGAAATGATGTTATTGCATAACACAGAGCAACCTGAACTGCATATGGCATGGAGATTTGCCATCTGGCTAACAGATGGTTAACAGCATATAAATTCTTATTCAATATTTTTGATGCCATATTAAATACAGTGCTGTTTTAAGGAAATGGCTAAAAACATTGTTGCAAGCATCTCTTCTTTCAACTAATATGAAATCATCTCTGGTAAGAATAGTTCTCATGATTATCATGAGAAATGGAAGATCTAATATTCCAACAAATGATATGAGTTTGCATAACAAGCAACATAACTAACCTTAAGAATTATTTAGTGAATGATAATGAACAAGATATATCATGGTAATATAGGACCGGAAATTATTATACTTAAAAAGATATACTTGAATATATTTACCAAATCACAGAATCATAACTGAATAAATACTTTGTGGCCATTACACTTGAATTGAAATACATTACTCATAGTGACACATATTCACAGGCATATAATGAGAATACAGAATTCCTTACAAGACTTAATGTGACTTCTCTATATATTTCACAATGTGAAAATATAATATTGATGATGATAATTAAAAAAAAACAATAATAATAATAATAATAATAATAATAATAATAATATTAATAATATATTAACAATAATAATAGTAATAATAATGATTATAAGAATAATAACAATAATCACAATAATAATAATAATGATAATAATAATAATATCAACAACAAAAAACACTATCAATAACAATAAATAGATGTATTTACATTTAAAATCATTCTTCCACCAATATCAACTCTGACCTTGAGAAGACACAAACTAAACATCATTCCTGTAAGGTCAATCAATATGACCTTTCAACCTTAGTGTAAAGAACACCACGTGTCTTCACAATCTTTGCAGCAATCCACAACACAAGAAGTATAGCAGAAAAAGTGTAGATAACGATGACTGTTTCTTTTGGCATCTGGCATTTGTAAATGCTGAAGTTGTTGGATGTTAGTGTTAACTGGAAAAGAATTATAAAAAATTATGAAACCTGTTTACAGATTATAGTTATATATAAATTTATAACATGACTAAATTTGAATCTAGTTTACTCTTGTTTTGTTTCTTCCTTATTTCTAGCTTTCTCTATTTCCAATATTTTTTCTATTCTTTATCTCTTTCATTATTCTTACTATTCTTTTTTCCCTTCTTTCTACAACTATATTTTTTTTTATCTCTTTTATGTCTGTATATTCATTCTTTCCTTCTCTACTTCTTTCTTTCTCTATTCCTCTGTCTCTATTCATTTCCCTATCTCCATCTACATTCTAAATATTTTCCATCTTTTCTTTCTTTTCTCTTTCCTTCCTTCTTTTCTTATTTCTACATCTATTTATTTATGTATCCATTTCTACATATACTTTTTCTATCTCTATCAGTATTTTTAAAAATTTTCTATCTCTATGTGTACATTTCTGTCTCTACTTTTTATTCAACTCTTCTCTCTATCTTAACTTCTCTCCTTCTCCACCTCCATCATTATTCTCCCTCTATTTCAATTCCTTTTTTATTCTTTTTCCTTCACCTCTATCTTCATTTGTGTCTTTTTTTTCTTCCTTTACTTTTCTATCTGTTTGCTGTTTTTTTTTGTTTCTTTACCTATCTTCCTTTACTCTCAATTCTTTTTTCTTCACCATGAATTACCCTTACCATAGAGAATGTAGGATTTTTTTTGTTCCGCCACGAAAACGATGGAACTGTGTATTCATCAACCACAGATCCTTTACTCGTGTTATGCTTCACATGGCAGCCATGGTGAGTGTGGCCACTGAGAACCAATCTTGGGGAGAGTTCTTCAAAGAGCTGTAGATGGTCAAAAAGTATAAGATATGATGATATGATATAATGTGATGATAATAATGGGTATATGGAAAGGGAAAGGGAAAGGGAAAGGGAAAGGGAAGGGAAAGGGAAAGGGAAAGGAAAGGAAAGGAAAGGAAAGGGAAAGGAAAAGGAAAAGGAAAGGAAAGGAAAAGGGAAAAGGAAAAAGGAAAAGGAAGGAAAAGGAAAAGGAAAAAAAGGAAAAGGAAAAGGAAAAGAAAAGGAAAAGGAAAGGAAAAGGAAAAGGGAAAAGGAAAGGAAAAGGGAAAGGAAAGAAAGGGAAAGGGAAAGGGAAAGGGAAAGGGAAAGGGAAAGAGAACCGGAAAGGGAGAGG